ACATCCTAGTGACGTTCTCTAGTTACTGTCAATGTTAATGATTATTAGAGCTTATCTCCTACCATAGAAGTAAGGGCGTATTCCCATAGATTTTAGATCGATCTATCCCTCACTAGATTACTGTCAGATAATCCGGCTTAAATGTCCGTCCCGCCTACTACAAGCTGTAGGGGGGTAATTAACTTTCGTGCCCACTCGGCTGACAGCTATTTAGCGTGAACCCCCAGGGAGTTAGGTCGATCTAGTTTGGATCGATCTAATCTCTGGGAATGGGGTCTAAGGAACCGTAGTCCGCTTCCCATTACTTAGTACAGATGACATTCGTCCCATATACTAACCCCAATACAACAACTAACCCTAACCTGTACAAATCATATGGTACCCTGACGTCCATTCCTATGACTTCCATTTCTGTTACACCTGTTTTTAAGTCAAATACGGAATAAAAGAAGATGAGCTAAGCGAATCTTACATTTGCACATCTCATATGTGCATATTTGATAGTAATTACACTCGTAAATAGCAAAAGGAAAAAAAATCATATACCGGTGTGGCAGGAGTGCACGTCCTAGTAACGCAAGTCCGCCCGGACACTCAGTCCTAGGATGCAAGTCCTATGGCATGCATTGCTAGGAATGGAAGTCCTGGGATTCAATGTCCGCAGGACGAAGGCTCCCAAGTAATGCAAGTCCTACGTGTAGTAATAAGTAACATTTCAGTAACGCATGTCCTATATAGTTTACATCAAGAAATGACATGGATAAATAGATATAGAAATATACTAGATTATAGAAATAATAAACGTTTGCTTTATTTCATTTTATTTTAATATTTTACGATGTTTTTTCCGATAGACAGTTTATATGCATATAAATGAAGCAACAGAAACAACAAGGTTTCATTGATTTTATTTCGTGTATTTTTCTTGAAGTAAACGTATATTTTTACATGTGTCATTGACCTTCTTGGGCCTTCAAATAAGGGGAAATCATTTTACACAAAACACGGGATCTCCGTTCCTAGATTTTTCATTTTCATTTTAATTTTTCATTTTCTGAATTTTCGAACTGACCCGGAAAACGTTTGATAAAGCCGATACCGATAGTGCTTGAAGTACCGAACGAGACTTTGCAATGGCACCGTGAATCTACGGCAGATTTATTTATATTAAAACTTGGATCCTTCGGTTGATCCTTAGGGCTCTTGCTTTTTATTTTGCAGATACTTTTCCTCTGTAATAATTACTGATAACAAACTAAACTCAGAATTGATTGTCGACTTTTAAGAGAAGGTATCGTTCTCCTCGGAAACTAATAATGTTCCCATGGCCAATGAAACGGGGGCGTCTCGATAGTCCGAAGGTTCATTGGTCCGAAGGTTCATTGGTCCGAAAAGTGGTAACATTTTCATCGATTTTTTAATCAAGGGTTCATTGGTCCGAAGGTTCTATAGTGAATATTCGGACCAATGAACCTTCGGACTATTGAACCTTCGGACTATTGCTACGGCCCCAATGAAACTATGGACTCATTCCCATTGTAAATATCGGTCTACGTATATCGATCCAACTCTCTTTGAATGCCATCAATTTAATAGACTATGGAATTATAGATGAACTTACATGAACAGATCAACACGCCTCCTCCTGGAGTTCGAAAGAATATACATGTATAAGATTGGTGATTATACGAGTACGTTGGAACAAGAGGAAGCGTGTAGACCGATATTTTCAATGGTAATGAGCTATAAAACTTCGTCTGCACTGTACTTACAACAGATTGCTGCCGTTGTCAGCGTTAAATATGAGGGCTGATTGTGGAAATAGCAGCACTGTGGCATAAGCTTCTTTCACTGACCTTGGTCCAAACTGAACACCTCTCACCCAAAACAAGTACGCGTAATTTACAGTATGTTATTGCCCAACCTCTGTTCGTACGGAAGCCTCGATTAAAGAAGTTTTTTGTTATTAAAGGCAACAACGTATGTCCATTTTGTGGTTTTATGTAACTTTATAAACAACTCTGAATAAAACAACATTGGCACAATATTGACAAAAGAATTCAATTTAGAAATGAATCTTACTTTTTACCAAACAGGGACACTCAGTTAATTCAAAGTAAAACATAATGACTTTTAATCATAAGATTAAAAAAAAGCTCACTTATGCGCTTAAACAGAACTTATAGGCAACTTTAAATCAAAGGAATATATGCTTTAAAATGTTATTTTTCAAACAAACAAATACTGCCATCTTATCTATTTTTCTGAAAGCAAACATTTCTTCATCTGCATTTCATTAGGTATGAGTGAGTTTTCTGAATGAAATGTTTTTATAAATAATGAAAATGTAATTCGTAAAAGGAACAAATAAAAACACATTATTGAAATATTTAGAATATTTATTTGGCATTTAAATTTTGACTTCACATCATAAACAAACTTGGATCTTTAAATTCAAAGTCGGCATTTTTCCTGAATAATGGTGCATGGAATAATGGAAGAGGACCTTAGTTCCATTTTCTTGGTTTTCGAAACTAAGCTGCAGATAAAATATGGCACACTTAAAACACCCTGCAGTATTGTGTTCCATGGCATTTAAGACAGAACAGTCTCATTCTACTCATATCATCCAGGTGTGAACAAAGTGAAAAACTAAATCTCATACATAATTTTCACTACATTTTTTTTCTTTTTACGGAGTATTACATGTACTCTTAAAAGATACTTTTTATGTACTCCAGTATATAATCAGGAATATTTCGGAAAATATCGAAAAAAAAAAATTCTCAACTTGTCAGTGTTTACAGACTGACATCATGCACAGTGTACGTATATATGCCAAGCTGGCTTTCAAAACCTTCACTGTTTCCATTTGGAAGTTCTTAATTTACCACACACACTCACATGCAACAATTGAAGGTTCATCTAAGTGAATAAAACCATGATAATAATCTCAATCCAATTCTAACAGATAAACTACACTAACAACACACTCAGTGTGTGACATTTCTATAATATAAAATATGTGTGATGACAGAAAAGCTGTGACATTTCTATAATATATAAATATGTGTGATGACAGAAAAGCTAAGTCCCACAAATCAAATAGTTGTTCTTGTGATGTTTCTTGCAAGGGCAATCGTAAGTTCAATGTGCGTGCACACAATACCAGTAGTTTCTGTGTGCATGCAAAAAAGAGTTCGCAGTAAAAGAGAATGTAACTTTTGGTTGGTGCTGAAATCCCAGAAACTGAATGTCCAGCAGTCCAGTGATGAAGGCCAATACATTTGATTATACTAATCCCTTTTCTTCTGCCAGCTGAAAAGGAAAAAATGTGATTCATTAATAATTTGTTTCCCAAAATAAGTAGCTCTCTATTAGTATTATCATAGTCAAACCTCAACAAGAAACTTCTACAATAAAGAAGCAGCAGTTGGTAATTTTTCCAAAAACAAATGCAAACTTAAGTAGACTTGTCCACTATTATGAGGCATGGTAGTCTGATTGCATTCAGCAAGAGTCCCCATAGAGCTGGATCTATCTATGTAGAATATGGTAGTTACATTGAGAATGGGCTCTTAGGGAACAACCTACACTGTTTGTGTTCTACAGAAACAACTCCATTCAAAAATTTACTGACAATTTGAAACAAAAGATTTAAATTTATAACACCAAAACAAGGTTTTTGTCAATTTAAAATGAAAAACTATCTAATTATTACCTGTAGCCTCTCTTGAATATCTTAAGAATTCTCCGCATGTAATTTCCTCTTCTTTTTAGAAGACAATCAAGCCATGCTGGACATGGACCTCCTTGAAGTAGGCCAAACTCCTGTGAAATTACAACATACAAATGCTATATATCATATCTTACACAAAAATACAACAAAAATACTTATTTATTTTCCATATTATCTTAGAAGATAAGGAAAAAACCCAAATGTAACAATCAATCTCTCTTAAGTGATACCACTGAAAGCATAACAATTGACAAAGAACCACGGCATGAAGAATCCATAATCCATACAACAGCTTGAAAATGCTTTAAATTTATTTATATATGTGTATATTTATATATGTTATGTATATATAATGATACTGTAAAAATGAAAAAAAGATGACAGCTGCGGGAGATAATCATTTGTTTCAAACATTGCAGTCTAGCAAAATATCATTTTAGAACATGGTTCCTCACAAATTTGTTTGTTACATTACTGCAATAATACTGTAATAATACTGCTTACCATATCACCTTCCTGTCTCTGGCTGTGTATATTCCACTTGTTCTAAAATTTGCCACATCCCATGTGTTGCATATATGGATGAGATGAAGGCTAGGGATGTTCTTGCTGGTCTATAACTGTCTGTTCCTTATTATTGAAAGCCATGTCCATGTAGCCAGCTGCTGCCTAGAAGCCACCATGTCATACAGAAAGGTGCTGGAAAAAATAAAACAGTCCAGTCAACCACTAGTCTTGGTCATGAAGATGTCTGGTTTGTTTTTGTACTGGATACAGTATTTGGCACTGCAGCCAGTTGCAACAAAGCGTCAGTGCCACCTGAGCTTGGGGGTGAGGTACAGCTGACAGAGAAATCAACAAGGTACCAGCAGGATGGTCAAGTAAAATGAAATGGACATGTGTCTTCTGCGGCAGCATGTCTAAGGAAGGGTAGACATTGACCTCTAGAAGAACTGCATATTTTTTAAAATTTAAAGGGCTAGCGTTTTGGGCATGTGTGCTGTTGGAAAAGGTTGTCATGCTCCTAAAAGACTGAGTGCATTTTTATCAATGCCTCTCCTTCTTCATAGCCATCCCTGGCTGGACCATACCAAACAGTTATGAGACATTGCTTGCCAGACTACCTAGGAGAGCATGGATAAGGTGGTGCTGCAAGTAAAACAGCTTCTGCATGGCGTGGACATCGATTTGGGGAAGGTTGTGGACTGTGTCATCACGATAGATAGCTCATGGCAGAGCCGCAACAATTCTAAGCACGGGTTCGTTGCAGTGATATTAGTAGATACAGGGAAAGTGCTAGACACACATTCTTCATGCTGAACTCATGTGAACATAGTATCATAAAAAGTACAGTCATTATGTCATTCGTTAAATAAAATGTTCTGTAAAGTTTAAGATATTCAGTCATAACACTTTTGTAGTTCCATGGAGCAGTATGGTCTATGTTACAACCCATTTGTGGGCGATGGAGACAGACTGGCATTTGGTGTGTGCAACATGAACAGCCTTATGGTCCAGAATTTGAGCTGGTCAAGGAGGAGTGTGTTGAACAAAACAAAAGCTATGACAGTAAACTTTACACAATCAGAGACAAAATGTCAATCAGTTAATATTAGAGGAACTCGTGTCAGTGAAGTATCCCATTTCAAACTGTTGGGTGTTTTTATCACTAACAATCTTAAATGGTCTGAACATGTATATAAATATAAAAAAGCATGCACACGATCGTTTTTTTCTGCGCAAGCTTAAATGTGCTAAACTGTCCTCATCTGATCTTGTTCAGGTATATCAGAGTTTAATTCGGACCGTGGTTGAATATGCTTGTCCTGTGTGGCACTCTGGATTAACTGGAGAACAATGTAAAATAATAGAATCCATCCAGTCAAGGGCACTTAGGATCATATTCCCTGAATTAACTTATGTTGATGCTCTAGCCAAAGCAAAACTTATTATATTAAAAGAGTGCAGATTTGAACTCTGCAAATCAATTTTTGCAAAAATACAAAATGACACAGACAAGCTGAACTACCTTTTAACCTGCAAACCAGAGGAGACTAATGTAACTATGTGTAAATATGCACTCGTCACTCGTCTTGTCTTGTGACTTGATGTGACTCTGACGCCCTCTAATTGTTCCTTTGTCTGTTTCTTTGTCTATGTCCCTTTGTTCTGTCTTCCCGCGTCTTTGTCATGTGACTTCTCATTATAAAAGGCATTGGCACCGTATTTTCAAATAGTGCTGAAGTTGCTGTTCGTCTGTCTGTTTCTATGTGGTAAGTTGGATGTCGTCTAGTTAATTCTAGTTATATTTTATCTTGTCTTTTGCGTATCCAACTCCACTATACTATACTGTATTACATCGTTTTCTACTCTTTAGTTTTCAGACCAAGCCGTATTGGTATATCCAGCACTCTTTCTAAACGCCCTTGAATAAGATCAGGGTAAGCCGTTATAGCCTTTATAAACCGTAGTTATCTATATCAAATTTATTATTTCCTTATCATAGAGGTAAACTATAGAATTATAAGTTATTTGTTGTATGTCATTTTATTTAATCATATGTCACCTTTATTACAGGGTGAAAATTTTAGTTGTAGCAATAAAGTCATTTTACACAACCAGAGAGTCCGTCTGTTACACTAAGAAATAGCCCGTCAAAGTTTAACAAAAATTAGAACTGAACGTTTTAAAAACACTTTTATTCCTTTCTCTTTATTAAACCATTAGTGGTCTGTTTTTTTATTTTTGAAACCCATTTTGGCCTTTATTGTATTTAATTTTCATTACTCCATCCTCTTTTACACTAACTTTCAGATATGCCTGTGTAAAAAAAAATATTTTATTTATTTATTTATTTTTTAATCTCATTAATTTCTATTCGCATATCCTATATTATATATCAATACTTTAATCTGTAAATTTTATTCCCACTCCATTTTATGTATAACTTCAACCTTTTGGTTGCCATGTCTTAATAAACTTACTTACTTACAAATACAGAAAAGGATGGGGAGCAGACTCAGGCAGATCATAGAGAGAAGAAGAGGTATTTTACATTGAAAAATATATTTTGCTGTCAAATGTAGTTTATGTTCTATAACCATCACAGTAGAAATGCAATTTGTACTAGTACAGATCAATGACATTGAGAGAAACACAAGGAAACAAAGCAAGGGCAAGTGATGGATAAAAGACTAGTTTATCCATTTAACCTCTTCTAACTTTGGAGAAATTTGCAAGTGCACAGTTAGAACTGATAGAAATAAACTTGCCAAATCTGTCATCCCTGGGGGTTGTACATCTAGGGCCCAGCCCCTAGACATGTCCTTGAATAGACTGTTCAAGGTACAACTGAGGAAAGCATGGACAGAGCACATGTGACGGACAGCCATGGAAACAAAGGGAAAGTTTGAGAAATTGCCAACGTCCAGTAAACAGGAGGTCGTTGCATGGGTGGCGTCAGCATGGAACAATATCAGCCCAGAAATGGTTGTCAAGCCGTTCCAAACAGAGAGGGAGGGATCCTGTCCAACCAAACAACTGGGATCATCAGCGCGTTGAAGGGGGAGGGATCCTGTCCAACCAAACAACTGGGATCATCAGCGCCTTGAAGGGGGAGGGATCCTGTCCAACCAAACAACTGGGATCATCAGCGTGTTAAAGGGGGAGGGATCCTGTCCAACCAATGTTGTCCCAGATGTTTTGTTTAGCAAGTGATGAGGAGGGTGACTTTTTGGGGTTTTCTGACACAAGAGATGACAGTGAGGATCCTTTTAGAGATCTGTGACTTAAACACCAGTTTCATTAGGAGAATTTAAATTATCTAATGTTAAGATGATTTGTGACCACAATGTCAGATATAAAACCAGATATAAAACCAGGCAACAGGCGGGAAATAAACAGTAGATATTTTAAAACTATGCTATGTTTTTATGTTGCTTTTCTCTCTGCATGGGTATAACCCAAATTGGGAATTGTGAATCGAACCAAACCTTGAATCTTCTGAAGGCGGATATAAGAGCCCTTGGAGTAAAACAGGTTTTTAAAGATATATCAGAAATGTTTTGGACGTGCCCAACACTTATTTTTAAACGCAATATTTTATTTCTTTATTCAATTTTTTAAACTGATGTTTTCTTTCTAACAGTGTGATCTGTGGTCCGTCCATCCTCTAAATGAGGCTGGGGAGAGTATCCATGGGGTGGAGTTGATGAACTTCACCCTATACAAGAACATGATCCCAGAGGTACTTAAGGGTTGCCCTGCCTCTCGAAAAGCAGATTACTATGCATCTTGGTGTCATGCTATTTGAATTAATGGTGGGAAGGTAAGATAGACAATAAAAGCATACAGTTATGGGCATAATGACTAAATTTAGAGGTACTTAGGGGTTGCCCTGCCATGTGGAAAGCAGATTACTATGCTCTTGGTGTCATGCTATTTGTATGTTGAAGAACCCAGTTCAAATTTGGTGAAAGCTTGCACACGATTCTGTTTGGAAATTGTTATCGTTGGAGAGATTTAAACCAGCACTCAGTGAAGATGGCCGAGGGACACACCAACAATGGGCAAGAAACAGCTATTCAGCCAAGAACAGAAATGCAAAGGTTAGCATATACTTGGGACATTTTGGCTTGTGATTTACAAGGTAAACAACATAGAACAATTAGACAAAGCAGGTTAGATGACGTATCATCAGGCATAAGTCCATGTGACGGAAGCGTCCCATTGGAGGTCCAGTACGTCTTACATAGACGAGTTACATGTCTTAAGCAAAACAGTACATGACGCCAAAACTGGCCATTTAACTTGTATTTGTTGTATTCTTATATCCTGAATATTTTATAATTTAATTGAATTTAATGCTTCTTGTGGGAACAGAGATACCTGGCACAGTAATTAACAAGTAAGTGACCACTCCATGTTCCAGATGATTGAGACAAGAAAACTTGCCAGTCAGGTCTGAATCTAGTCAAACCAGTTAATTGCACCTACACAACATTACACCAGTAATTCACTCTTGCACGAGTCTTTTCAACATGCACTTCCAGGATGTTACATTAACTTAGTAATCAGTTTATCCGTCTCTTCCACTGGAAGGTCTTCAAGAGACCGGTTGTAATTAAACAAACTTAAATAATTACAAGTCAGGTGACCAGAGTCACATGTCCATCAAACTAAGAGTAACCAATAAGATTTAGGGCAGCCTCCCAAATACATGTAACTCCCTGCATTTTAGATAAAAAGGTAGCAACTGACCATAGCAGGCAGTTGAGAGAGTATGATTGAAGGAAGTAGTTAAGGGAACAAGGTTGACGGCCGAGGTTGAGAAAACTGTAAACAAGACAATGAAGGGAACTGTGCAGAGATAGAAACCAGTATACCAGAGACTCAGATAGAATATCGTAACCAGAATACAGAAATAAACTGTTTTGCTGAACCCACCAAGATGGTCGTTTTACAGTCTATTAGGATTGAATCTGTGGGGGAGCCTAGCCTAAAAGTGGCTAAGGTTGGACTCAAAATGACAAAATGTCATGTCCCTGGATGTAGTAACCCCAATATTGAAAGGGGTGCAGTCAAGGTCCATGCCATGACACACATACCTGATATCTTTGACAAGGAATTGGGTACCGTCCCAGAGATCATGGCTCTTAGGGTGACAGCTTTGGAGTGCGCCACCTCGCTCACTT